TGGTTGTGTATATTATTCATTTAAAGTCTGGAGATATGGTTAAGCTGTTGCAGTAAACACTTAAATCTACTCTATGCGCTGAGAAGGTGCATACATGCGTGCCTCCTCTATACCTGCCCAAATGTTTTGGATTCTTGAATGAAAGACATACACATGCCAGCTTATTTTTAATATGCACTAGGCACTTCCAAACCTCCTTGCTGCTAGCATACTCTCCCCTCCGATATTCCTGAGTTAACACTTAATAAATCTGTATTTTATCTTTGCTGCCCTGGGCCCTGCTGGGCAGCACCTTTGGGTCCGCCTTCCCTTTGCACCTACGTTTTCGCCATCTCACCCTCCTGCAGGTTTCCAGGTTGGTCTGTCCTACGTCCCCCCCCCCATTTTTTTAATGTTGTAACTATATTTATGTACAGAAAACTTAGTGTACATTTACACCAGTTTAGTGGTGAGTTCTTTAGCCTTTGCCTTTTCCAGCTTGGCAATCTGAGCCACAGATTTAGGACCCAGGACATTGCCTCCCCAGTGACAACGGATCCTGTCATATATGTCATTATAATTGGTCCTAATAGCTTCCACCAGCTTAGCCAGAGCATCCTTGTCTTCTGAGTTAACCTGTATGAAGGCAACAGTGGTGCGTGTCTTCCTGTGGACCAAGATCCCCAGCCTAGCCTTTCCCTTGATGATGCAGTAGGGCACCGACACAGGGCAGGCAGGAAAACCACCAGCTCAATGGGGTCTACATCATGGACAATCACCTCCAGCTGAGCCTTCTTGTTCTCCACCAAGGTGGTGACTGTATTGACTCCTGCTCAGAGGACAGGTGGTCTCTTAGTTGGGACATCCCTTTGCCAGCAGCTTTCTTCTCAGCAAGGATCAGTAGCCTTTGCTTCTTCTCTTGCTTTGTCTCTGGCCTGTACTTGTGGGCAAGCTTAAGCAGGTGAGTAGCTGTTTGCCTGTCCAGGGCCTGGGTGAACTGGTTAATGGCAGGAGGTACTCTGAGCAACTTATAGAGGATGGCTCTTTGCCGCTGCAGCCTGATGTAGCGGAGCCATTTGACTAAGCGTGTTAGCTCTCTTTTGGGCTGGATGTCCTGCCCAATGCCAAAGTTTTTGGGCCTTTTCTCAAACAAAGGATTGACCACCTTTTTGGCCTCCTGTTTCTTGACAATGGCAGCGGGGGCTGGTGCCACCTTCTTCCCCTTGGCCTTTCCTTTGAGCATCTTGCTCAGCTGGAGGAGAGAGCCCTACACCCTTCTTATGGTGGCTTCTCCTTCTCCCTCTCCTTTGTTTCTTGCCCAAGAATTCTAAAAATACTGCCTCTGTCTTCCTGCCCAGCCATTGGCTGCTGGGAATTTTATTTCCAAATCAAAATCAACTAGGGGCAGGAACCCACAGCAACTTACAAGCAGATATGCGAACTCCCATATAATTTGGGAATCTATTAAATCAAATTCACAACACTCAGTCCTCAAAAGTTCTTGTAGCTATTGCAGATGATCTGAGTTTGACTCTCAGAACCCACCTGGCAGCTCACAACCACCTATAACTCCATTTTCAGGGGGAACCAACACCCTTTTCCAACGTCCTCATTCACCCACATTGTGTATATACATATATGCAGACAAACATTTATACATATGAAGTAAAATAAATCTAAAACTCCTTTTGGATTTTATTGTCTTTTATTTATTTAATTTATTTATTTATTCACTTTACATCTTATAAATACTCCCCCCTGCCCTTCTCCTCAGAGAAAGGGAAGCCCTTCCCTTAGGTACCACCTTGTCCTGGGACATCCAGTGGTAGCAAGTCTAAGTGCATCCTTTCCCACTGAGGCCAAACCAGGCAGTCGAAAACTAATATCCAAAATATATAAAGAACTCAAGAAATTAGACACCAGCAAACGAAATAATCCAGTGAAAAATGAGGTACAGAGCTAAATAGAGAATTCTCAACAGAGGAATCTCTATGGGCTGAGAAACACTTAAATAAATGTTCTACATCCTTGCTCATCAGGGAAATGCAAATCAAAATTATTCTGAGATTCTGTTTAACACCCCTCAGAATGGCTAAGATCAAAAACTAAAGTGACAGCTTGTAAGGCCTCCTCAAAAGGCTCAACTTAATTAGACTATATTCACCACGACACTTTCTCTTTGACAAGTCAGCTTACTAGAAAGCTTAATCAAGCTGGGCATGGTGCTGCATGCCTTTTATTCTAGGAGTTAGGAGGCAGATTTCTGTGAGTTCAAGACCATCTTGGTCTACATAGTGAACTCTAAGCCACCTAAGACCACAAAGTGAGGCCAAGTATGAAAAAGAAATCGATAAAAGGAGTGAAATAGAAATAGATAAAGAAATAGATAAAAATCACATTGACAAAACCTCTCACTGTAGCCCACTCTAACCACAAGTGACAAATGTTCATGTATTCTGTTTATCATCAAATGGAGGCAGTAGCAGAGGCATATACTGTAAGGCAGGGATCTAGAAAATGGGCAATCCTGTTTTCCATGAGGTGTTCTGCTCAAAATAGCTTGTCTCCCAAGGATTCCTGTGATAGAAGCTTGATCTTCAGCTTGAAGATGCTAAGAGGTAGTAGTACCCTTAAGAAGTAGAGCCTGATGGGAGATCATTGGAGGTGCTGCTTCTAGAAAAAGATTAAATTCTTAGATATATGGCTTTGTTTACGATATATTCTTTAATTTTGATTTTAGAATTTGCTTATTTCAGTAAACATGGAAGACATTGAAATGCACATTGTCCTAAAGCATTTAAAGATTATGAAAATAAAGTTATGTACTAATATAAATGACATCTGAAATTCTATCAAGAGACATTAGTTATTCTAACAGTACTAGGCAAAATTTCTTTAAACAGATAAATACATACATTTTGGAACATTTATATAAATCACAGTTGGCTAGTTTTGTTCTACTTTTTAAAAGGCTTTTTATTGATTCTTTGTGAGTTCCACATGATGTACCCCATTCCCACTCATCTCCCCATGCTCTCCTAACACGCACACAAACAAATGACAATAAAACAAAAACAAAGCATAGAAAACATCTCATCCTGAAAGCTCTTGTACGTCACCGTGTGTCACACAGTATACCCCTCTGTGTACTGTATAGCCATCTTGCCTTGCAAATGTTCATTACATGAGTCATTGGTCTGGTTTGATAACCTTGACTTCTATGACATCAGTATTAGATCCTCACTGAAATTCCTCCCAGTTATCCTGGTTTTAGCCTGTGTTGTAGAGACACTGAAGCTTTGGGTCAACGGGACTGGCCATTTCATGAATTCCCAACCATTTGCAGATGATACAGATTTTTTGGGGTGGTCCAACTCAGAACCCTGGATCCGGGCCTGGGTGGCAACTGAGACGGTTAGCTCATCAGTTCTTCCCAGATGAGCTCTTCTGCATGCACTACTCCAGCTAGGCCACCTAATGCCACCATCCGCAGAAGGCAAGGTCAGCTCCCCTCTCTCATGCCCTTGGGACCCGCTCACCTGCACCCATGCCTCCAGAGCCTGGCTCACAGTCAAGGTTTGAGGACTACTTTCCCAAGTGCTGCAGTCTGTGAGGGGCTGAGACAGATCTTCGGGGATGGCTGACCTGTGCCTTCCCCAGCACTGTGTTGGCCAGGTGAGGTGCAGGTCCCTCTCTCCCTAGTGCTACTGCCAGTTAGGAGGCAGTAAGGGGGGATCCTGCTTTCATGACCCCCTTGCTACAGTATGTGGTGAGGGAGGAAGGGTGAAGGCATCACCCCCACACCCAACCATTTCATAGCCAGGTGAGTGGCAGGGCGAGCTCTTGAGCTCAAAGTCAGCTCACATGCGCCCGCTTCCGCCAGGGCCAGTTCTACTGTACTGCCCAGGCAAGGTGTAGGGCCTGCTCTCCCAAGTCCTGCAACCAGGAAAGATCAGGGCCAGCTCATCCACTCTCATGACCCGTGTTCTCCCGACTGCTGCAGGTGGTGCAGTGAGGGAGGTGGGGGGTTGGAGGGCATCACACCTACCACCTCAAAGCAGAGAAGTGTTGAGGCCAGCTCTCCCTCACTCTGTCCTTAGGGAGGTTCATCTGTCCCATACACACACCTGGATCAGTTCTGCTGTGCTGTCCATGCGAGGTGCAGGGCCCACTCTCCTGAGCGCTGTTGCTGGTGACAAGTTCTACCAAGCTCATGTCACGGGAGGCAACTTTCTTGACTGCCAGAGGTGGCAAGGGGCAGGGAGGTGAGCATCACCTTTGCACCAGTGCCGTCCCATGGCACATCAGCGGAGGAGTCAGTTCTTCCACACTCATGCCCTCAGGATCCCCTCGGGGTTGGCTCACCCACACTCCTCACTGCCAGAGCCAGCTCTACAGTGCTGCCTGTGCAAGGCACAGAGCCCACTCTCCGTGGGCTGCTGCCAGTGAAGGATAGGGCCAACTCTCCAGAGCACTACATTCAGTGCGGGCTGGGGTCAGTTAAGCACAGATCCTGAACATTGACTTGGTCCCCGGAGGCTGCCCCAACCAGGGACATCCCTATGATCTCTAGTCATAGCATGAGCCACACACACGAACAGGGACCCCTGCGGCTTTGTAACCATGGACTCAGACATGGGCCTCAGTGGTGGTTTAGGCTGCAAGCTACCTCACCATAACCCCAGGTGACAGAGTGGGTAACGTAACAAGCTACTTCTCTCTACCATCAAGCCTTCAGTTCCATCTCTCTCCATAATGTTCATACTACTGTACTTCTCTTTTTCTCCCAACTGACCGCCACATACTCACACATTGTGGTAGCTCCTGCTGCAGGCGGGTCAAACAACTTCTTCTGGGTGAAATCCTTCATCTGTGCTGCATGGTGTGGCAACAAGCATGTGTCTATGGTCGACCTGTTCGCCTGTTCCGCATGATGGAGGTCAGGTCTGTGGGTGGCACGGCAGTCTGTGGGTCTCTGTCTTCCTCCTCCTGTGCTGACACAATTGAATTTGATTTGATTTGTATGTGTCCTAGGCATTAAACAGCTTTGGTCACCAAGCCAGAAATCAAGCTAGGATGAACAAAGGACTGTCATCTGCTCTGCCCCTGATTGACATAAGAACACCCCCACCAACAAGGTGTCCCTTTGCCCATTGCCAGGGAGTGTTTATAATATTTTGGTTCAACCTATTTTCTGATAGAGCTATAACTATCTCATTCTCTTTTTTTCTTCTTGTATTAAGAATCTTCATGTTTTGAGTTGGTTAATTATTCCTGTGCATGAGGCCTTCCCTGAAGCGTAGTTGATATACCCTCTGACATTCCATGGGAGAAAATTGATTTGCAGGTATCAGTTGCAGATAGCTTCTTGGATTGGGATGGTAGCTTGTGTCTACTTCCTCCTCGTGCTGGGACTCCTTCCATCTGGAGCGTGTGCGTGTCTTATGTGTGCTGCCTCAGCCTGTGAGTTCTTCTGTGCATCACGCTATTACATCTGGAAGACACTGCTTCCTTGGAAGTCAACCACCTGTGGCTCTTACAATCTCTCTTCCTCCTTTTCTTCATAGGTCCCCATTTGTGAAGGCAGGGTAGTTTGTTTCATTATGACATGTTTTGTCTTTTTTACTATATTTTGTTTTAGGGATTTGTTTTATGTATGTGAGATCACTGTTGCTGTCTTCAGACACACCAGAAGAGGGCATCAGATCCTATTACAGATGGTTGTGAGCCACCATGGTGTTGCTGGGAATTGAACTCAGAATCACTGGAAGAACAGTCAGTGCTGTTAACCACTGAGCCATCTCTCCAGCCCCTCGGCTCCTTTTTTAATTTTTATTTTTGTTGTTGTTTTAAAGGGAGAAAAAGAACATGAAGTTGAGTGTCCAAGGGAGTGAGGAGAATCTGGAAGAAACTGGAGAATGGGCAACATGATAGAAATATGTTGTATGCAAAAATTAAATTACATACAAAAGAATCATGTCTAATTATTGAGGTTCTTGTTACTATCGCTGTTTGTACTTTTCTATGTGAAGTTTAGAAGCAAGTTTTCTAGGTGAAATACATCCCTAGTATTTTAATCAAGACCACATTAAATTAAGAAATTAATGGACGCAAAGTGCTGTCTTAAATGATGATCTCCACAAATGGCTTTCCCGTATGTTAAGCCTTCTGTATGAGTCCTTCCTCTGTGTTTAATTCTCCGTGTAGATCTTGCCAGCACGAGAAACACAACTTAAGGCTTACAACTTAAACTGACTGCGTCCTTGGAACAAGCCAGTGGCACACAAACCATTGTTCTGAAATGTTTCACAGAAATTCCTATAAAATTGTCTGTTGCTGGTTAGGGTATTGTTGTTGTTGTTGTTGTTGTTGTTTTGTTTTGTTTTGTTTTGTTTTGTTTGACATCGCTGACAATGAGTGTTTCTTAAAAATTGGTAAGCTCGAACTGCCTATCTTTTTATGGTAATTTATTCATTTAATCCAGATTTTTCCATTTATTTGCATAGAGTTGAGTAATCTTAGAATTCTTTGAATGGCTTCCTTCTGGGGTTACTCTCACATTGTCACTTTCTAATTTATACAATTATATTCCTCTTGTTTTTCCTTAATAAAACACATTCTTCTTTTCTTTTTCTGCCAAGACTCAAGGTTCAAACATCTTTTTTTTCTGTTCTTTAAACTTACTTTCATTTATTAATACATACTTCTGTTTTTTCCTTTGGTTTTGCTTTACTTTTAGAAATTGTGTAATTTTGTGTTATAGCCCTTTTGTGGGTATTTGTCACAAGTAAAGTACCTTACAAATTTTTTCTTACTTGCGTATATTAATTCTATATAATTAAATCTTTTGTATTATCACATAAAGTTATCTTTGGTTTTTCTGGTTTATTTCTGATTTTGCTTGATCATGATCATTAAGTTGTTTGTGATAAAATACATCCACTGATGATTACTGTGTGATCTAAAATATTTCAATTTTCATGAGTTCATAGACATTTGAAATAGACATGTTTTGATCATTGAGGATCAATGTTTAACATTCATCAAATTTTATTTCTCTCTGTACGTATTTATGTGTATACATTTGAATATGTATGTACATGTTTATATGAGGAACGCATATATGTATGTCTGAACCTTTACTGCATAGCCTTTATTGACTGAGCTATCTCCAGAAGCCCAAATTCAATGATTGATACCAAAGATTGCATTTATCGGTAGAGGTAGAGAGTTACTTAAATGAGATCCAATTACAAGCAGATAAGAGAAATTAGTTTCAGGAGGCCTGTTGTACTGCAAGGTAGCTATAGTTTTAGATATTGTGCTTTGTTAGTTTAAGGTTTGGGTTTTTTTATTTGACAAAACTAGAGTCATCTGGGAATTGGGAATTTCAGCTGAAGATTGCCTCCATCAGATTGACTGTAAGCAAGTGTGTTGGAGCATTTTCTTGATTAATGACTTATGTGGGAGGGCCCAGCCCACTGTGGGCAGTGCTACTCTTGGAATTTAGTCCCAGGAAGTCTAAGACAGATAGCTGCACATGAGTCTGAAGTGCAAGCCAATAACAGCATTCCACTGTGTCTCTACTTCAGTTCTTACTTCCAAGTCCTTGTCTTGAATTCCTGCTTGACTTTCCTTCATGATAAATTGTGACTTGTAAGCCAATAAACCTTATCCTCCCCAGGTTGGTTTTGGTCAGTGTTTTATCACAATAGAAAGCAATGTAAGACAGATATTATATTCTTGAAATATGAAATAGTGATTATATGCTCTCATCTCAAAAATACTAATTAATGAAATGAATTTGCTATTTAGCTAAATGTAAGCAGTTCTCTAGAACATGTTGTTGTACACAGTAAGAAAACATAAATATTAGCTGCTACTTTTTAAAGTAAAATAAAGTTTTCCAGATTTTTTAAGACCTTGCTCTCTTACACTTGTGTGTTTTTGTTCGTTTCTCCTTGTAATTTCTACCATTTCAGCTTCATGACTGTTACTGCTTTTGGTTGGAGCATAGATTTTCATGACTTTTATATCTTCACTATCAATTGTCCCCTTTGGCATTATAAAAGACCTTTATTGTAAAGCGCTTTTCATCCTGAGTTCCACTGTATCTGATATTGACATCTCAAGAATGACTTTAATTTTAACTCTTCTGAAACTTTTAGATGTGGCTCCTGAATGCAGAACAAAGTTTGAAGGTTCCTTTGGTCTCCAATGTGAAAAGTTTTTCTTTATATTAGGTGGGTCAAATTCATTTACATTTATTGACATAAAAGATGTGTCTGGCTTTTGGTCTGTCGTATTGTTCTATCTAAGGGGAGGTAGTTTTTAAAGTCGTCCCACAGTAGTCTGCTTCGTGCATGTGTGATATTTTTATATTTAAGAAACTCTACATTTTTGTTTTCCTATTTATCTTTATACCATTAGTTCTATAGAAAAGCCAGTGATAATAATGGCATATTTTCCTCTGTGTTTTTGACAGCTCCTTGTCTGCACTTTGAATAAATAAAATTGTTACTTCTTAGTGTTGGTTAAATATTCTTTCACGCCTACTATTCGTCTATCAACCTGAAATAATGTCTAATAAAATTGTATTTCTGATATTATAGATGAAACAATCACCATTTCTATCAATTATTCCCAATTATTTCTAACAATTATTCCCTAAATTGAGAAAACATGCACAGTTCCTTTTTGCCACACGCTGATCTCTTTTTTTGCTGTAGTCTTTGTTCTGTTTGTTAAAAATATTCAACCTTTCCCGTCATTTCTGTTTTGTTTTGTCTTTTGGTTTTTGTTTTTTGGTTTTTTGGGGGAGTTGTTTGTTTGTTTGCTATTGTTTTCTTGGGTGCTCCTGGTTATTGAAGATAACTCTTCAATACTTTCTTCAATAAAGGCCCAGAGATATCCTGTGCCTTGGCTTTTTATGAGAGTGAACTGTTTTTAAAGTGTTCTATAAGGCTTTTCCCTCATATTATTTTAAATATTTTTTTATTGTTTGAGGTTTTTCATACATACATGTTCTGGTTAAGACTTTTCATCAACATGACAAAAGCTAGATTTATCTGGGAAGAAAAACGTCAACTGAGAAGATGTCTCTCTCAGACTTTCTTTAGTCAAGTCTGGAGGACATTTTCTTGATTGATGATTGACAGGAGAGGACCATGTTCACTGGGCACAGTGCCCCACTAGACAGGTAGTCCTGAGTACTATAAGAAAACAGGCTGAGCAAGTCATGAGGAGCAAGCTAGTGATTAGCATTCTTTCAAAGCTCTTGCTTCAGTTCCTGCCTCCAGGTTCCAGCCTTGAGTTCCTGCCTTGGCTTCCAGCAGTAAACTGTGACCAAGCATATGTAAGCCAAATACACTCTTTCCTCCCCACGTGACTTTTGGTGTCTTTATCACAGACAACACATATAAAACATTTTGATCAAATCCATCACCCCCTCTTCCATTCCAATGTCTCTCTATATCCCACCACTTTCAATCCTTTCCAACTTCATGTACTCTTTGTCAAATCGGAGTTACTTAGTGCTACCTATACAGGCATGTATGGAACAACCTATCAGAGCATGGGCAACTGACCAATGGCTGCGTCCCTGAAAACTGACTGTCCCGCCCACAGCAGCCATCAAATTCCAATAGCTCTTGAGACAGGAGCTTGATCTAATATCAATTTCCTCTCTCCCTTGTGACGCTATGTATTCCTGCAACATCTATTTTCCATTGCAAATTCATTTCCACCAGCCACATATCAGGAATCGAAATCAGGGCATCTATATCTCTCTTCTGTTTAAACTGAAGTTCTGCCACCTCGTGGTTTTGTTTCTTTCCATTATTTCAAAATATTATTACATAGTACTCCTCTGTGGTCTCTTTTTACATAAATAATTGTTTTCATGTTCCATCTTAAATATAGTTGCTGTAGGCTGGCCATGGTATCACAGGCTTTTATCCCAGTACGAGGGTGACAGAGGCAGGTAAATTTGGGCCCAGTTTGGTCAACAGAGCAAATTCCAGGACAGCAATTCTGTCTCAGAAAAAAGGGGGGTTTGCTATAATAGGGTAAATTCTTGAGCCCCACCCCACCAAATCTATATGTGGAAACCCCAATCCCAGGATTACAGTCAAGGTAGAGTCTCCCTGAATTATCATGAAGGTGA